CTTACAGTTCATTCCAAAACTTTATTTCTGCAAAAATGAAAAAAAAAAAATTTGTTTGAATCGTGAATTATTTAGTTTATTTGATGTTATGCACAAAGCTGCACAATAAGGTATTGGTGCCGTGTCCACCACAGGCAGCGAAACTCGAATTTTAGCGCTGTAATCGCGCAGGCTTACCGCTGAGACACTTAAGAGCTGATTCGTGTAAGAATGTTTTGTTAGATTAAAAGAAAAATATTATTGTATTAATGAATGCTTTTCTGCATCTTAAAAAGTTAAATATGCTGTACTATGTTTTTAAACGTATTAATAATTTTCAGGATTAAAGTTCCTTATTAAAAGTAAAAGGTACTTTCTGTTAGCTCAGAGCAGTCATAATAGGTATAACGTATATGTATATAAAATATAGTGTTGAGTATGTGACAGAGAAGTCATTTGAATGCTTTGTCTTGTACGTCTTGCCTCTTGCACGTTCACATACACTAAACTAAATACATTTCGAAAAATTACATTTAAGTGTATTCTTATAAAAATCGATATTTTGTTAGGTGTGCACGTTTCTCTTGTCCTCTGTTGAGAATGCACGATTGTTTCGGCACATCATGCGCATGGCACCCGCCCTGGAAAGACATAAGTCATTCGTTTTGTGAGTGGATAATTTGTTAACGTACTCTTTTGTGGTAATCTCGATTTTCTGTATTATTTCTCTACATTTGTAGATGGATGTTTTTGGCGGAGAGAAAGTGTTAGAGCTTAGAAGCTGGAAATACACGGCTTTCCCTTTTTCTCCTTTTTGTTTCTCTGTATGTGTATCCAAATCCAAAGTGAAATGACGTTAGCAGATTATCAAACAAGTGGTCTATACACTAAGCAATTGAACAATAATGTCGTGGATGGTCACCTAGGCAACTAGATCTTTAGTATTTTAGGAATTGCTAGTTCAATCTCACTGGCCTGGTATGTGAAGTTACTATTAATGACAATGCGATAAGAATCAGACATCACAGATTTCGCTTAAAACCGAGAAGACTTTCTTTAGCCATGGGGTTAACGACACGACTTTTGATGACATCACCATTCCTAGAAGCCATTTCATTAAGCGCTTGTAATCTTTAGAAATGAACCAAAGTTTACGCATATTTATCAATGATCGACTTGTTTGAAATGAACGATATGGACAGCATAATTTCGTTGAACGGAACTGTTTCGAGGTCAATTCAGTTATAATGGAGGAAGCATCATATTTATCTTACATTTTCTTTGTTTTCTACTGCTTTGCATTTTTAAAGGAATATCTTAAAGAAAACAGAGATCATGATTCAACCAGCAAAAAGTCCACGATTTTAAACACGTTAAACACCTTTGAGGTATGGGACAGAATTCCACATGCTAAGAAAACAAATACTTGTTATTAATGCACGATATTTTGATTACACCAGAGTTTTATTTTTTACCTGTTATATTTTGATAAATCTTAATACGTGTATTTTAAAGTTGTCTTGCTCTTTTAATGAATCTGTGCACGAAATCAGCTCAATTTTTTTACTTTCAGAAATAACATAAAAGTTGATCATCCTGTGTAATAATTATAGATCCGATTCTTGAGAAGTTAATGGTATGATATCACAAATAACATACAACCTATATTTTTTATGATACAGTATTTATGCTTTCCTTGTCTGCAATATGATGTTGTGTTTTTTCTACATATAACGTTAATTACTGGGTCACATCTGACACATATATGTGTTGTTGGTAACTGTGGAAGATTTCTATCTCTCAATACTACACATATACATTTCCTTATCGAAACAGCTTGAATTACATTGACCATTGCAAAACCATGATCCCCTAGTGGCACATCGGTATGTCTGTGGACTTAACAACGCTTGAAATAGGGTTTCGATACCCGTGGTGGGCAGAGTACAGATAGCCCGTTGTGCAGCTTTGTGCTTAACTTCAAACAAACTAAACAGCAAAAGTTTAATATTAACGTGCCTACAATTTGGGGTGTCTAAAACGAATTACTTAATTAATGTTTCGTTTGATGCTTTATTCTTCAGATTTTATTACTTTATTTTTATTACATTACTTACAAAAGACAGCAAATAGCCCACGTACTCCTCTTCTAGCCATTGAACCCATTCAAGTTTTCAAAAACTTGAAAATTCCCTTAAATTTATTTGATTTTCAACTGTTGTCGGAACACCAATTGTTTAACAAACTATTACATGTATCTGCTTTTTATTAAGCATTTCAATTCGTAAAATTGGCTTCTTTCACGATAATAAACTGAAGGGTGAGAACATTAAATACAGAGTGAAGCCGTTCGAAAATAATAATAGCTTTAACCATGCAGGAAAAAAGATTATAAATTATTAGTCATGTGGAATTCAAGTATCATAATATTACAAACTATCATCAAATACTAGGTTCAACAGCATTTATTTTAAAATTTGGTGCCCGAAATCTAAAACAAAAAAATAAGTCCAAGTACTCAAAGGCTACTCAAACTACGCATCTGATTAAATATCTACAAAATGATTTTACTGCTCAAAACTATGTCAAACCCAGTTTTTTACGAAACATTTCTGAAAAGTTAAGAATAAAATTGCGGACTAACACACAATTACGAAACTTGAAATATGCGAAATAATATTTAGCTTTAAAACAATAATTAATTGTTTCTTTTTAACAATGGTAAGTCTTTGGGCTCATAGCGCTAAAAATTGGGTTTAGATATCCGCAATTTGTGCTTTACGGCAAACATCAACAATGGTAAAAATCTTATGTCTCACTAACTTAACTTTATATTTGTTAAAGAATTGATAAGAATAAAGGAACTCATGTGAACAATACAGGTATGTGTGCATAAAACAGACTTTCAGACGAAATGTGAGGCTTATGAATAGTGGTAAAATCTGATAGTAGACAATATATGCCCCTCCCCCATCTGTATTTAGTACTCCAGCTCATTTGCTTATTTATTATGTGCAACAATTTTTCATTTTTACCTCGTTGTGTGATTTCTTTAAATATCATTGTACGTAAGGAGATTCTAGTTTCTAGCTCTCTTTCCTTTATATCAGTGATCACCAGTAGGCGGCCAACGATTCACGTCAATCCTGAGACGTGGCCCACATAACTATCAGGATATTGCAAGAGTAAAGAAATCTGTACTTGTGGAATAATGTATTCCCCAACAAGCTCAGACCCGGCGTTTGGACTTATGGTCATCATCTGAAGTGGTTCAATGCAGGTAAAATTATTAGATACCCATGGACCCAAAAATAATGTGATGTGTAAATAGTTTACCAATTGCGTTTAACAAGTCAATGGGGTTCGAGCCTTACTGGTGATTCTACCATTAATGTATAGTAAGATATCACTTAGTGATTTTCTCTCCCTCGTTATTTTATGTAGCTCACAAACTTAAGATTGATCACAGTTTCGGAAACACTTAGTGATTTTCTCTCCCTCGTTATTTTATGTAGCTCACAAACTTAAGATTGATCACAGTTTCGGAAACACTTAGTGATTTTCTCTCCCTCGTTATTTTATGTAGCTCACAAACTTAAGTTTGATCACAGTTTCGGAAACAATCGAAGATAATTATTAACAAATGTTACTGAAACTTTGTGAATAACTTTTGAATAAAATTCGATCTTATTTCTTAGTATACAAAATCGGTTTCCTGAAAAATAAATCACTTTACGTTGGTATTCCAGTTTGAACAGAATGACGAAGCCAAGCATCGTTGACATTATTGATGAAAAAAATGATGTTGAAATTTACACTCGAAATAGTTTTGTAAATAAAAAAATATGCCTACACAATACGTCTCAAACATTATTCTGACACGTTAGAATTTTTATGCAAAGTTACCGAATGTGAACAAATTTTAGTGGACACACTGGTATATATTTACGATATTAAATAAAAGACACTCTCATTTTGCTACAAATTGCTCTCTTGTTGCGTTTTGAATGATTTGTTATTTCTTATACAATACATCTTGTCTTCTATAAACCCAGGTGCCATCACTGACAAACATCACAGTGACCAATCCCCTCCAATAAAGTATAATGAAGCCACAAGTAACACAACACATTTGTTTGTTGCATGATTATTGAATCTGCCTTACATTGTAAATGTCACCACCATTATCAATGAACGTGTAACATATATTTGAAACTGATTTAGTATCTGGAGGATCTTTGTTAAATGTTCGTACTGAGCACAATATAATTAATTGTGTGAATATATGCGAAAACATACTATATAAATTTAATAATTGATAATATTTACTTGTATAATTACAGGTTAAATATATACTGTACTGAAAAACTTCCAGCGCTTCCATAAAATATGCACTTTTCTAAGTAATATTTGTCCTCCTCTACGATTTCACGTTCGGTCTTTCTCAAGGCTGGATGATATTTCATTTTTATTATTAGTCAACGTTCAAGTGTGAAAGAAACCTGATTCCAGAAGTTTATCTCATTTCTTGTCCTCATGTAACATTTCTTGCCGTTTATATGGGAAAACCTTTGCCCTAATGGTTTAGGTTTTAAATCACCCTTTGCAGCTCAAATTGTGAATGTAACATGCAAATATTTTATCGGTAACAGCTAATTAAAAAGATTATCCCACAGTAGAAATAAAAGTTCAAATTTTTTATACCTTGTAGACTTGTATACTTGTTGGTATATCTGTTAGTTTTTAAGCGCAAAATTACACAATGGGCTATCTGTGCTCTGCTAACCGCGAGATCGAAACTCGATTCTTAACGTTATAAGCCTTCGGGCTTACCAGTGAGTCTGTGGGGGGGGGGAGGAGCAGATATCTTAGTAAATAAGAGTGCTGACAAGCAACATACTATTACTATAGATAATTATATATGAGATGATATCAAAATAATTTCGGTAAAGTCTTCAGGACAACAATTGGTATACATAGTACAACTGCTATTTAAACTTCTAGACTCAAAGTGAGCTTACCTCGACGCTGGAATCGTTGGGGATGATAACAAATGCTGTAGCTGTGTTTCTTTAGTACTACTATCTTCCTTGTGAAATGTGGTACCTGCTATCTAACTCGTTATGCTGCTGCCCCACAGTGGACTGCGCGCACCCTATTTGCAAGAGTTCATCTGCGCAAAACTACATTTCCCTACGTTAGTTGCCATAGTAACGAGATATAAGGGTGTACGTTGTACAAACCAAAGTAAATGTCCAAGTGGTCGAATTTACAAGTGATATGGAAAGAATCAAAGTTCACAAAATGTTTTTGGTCAGAAATATTTGTCAGGTAAGTCGTTTTACAGATTCACTTAAAAGTGTGATACCATCAGAACTTAATCACTGTATCTTGAAACACCAGCACTAATCCAGATGTGATTAGGAGAAAATAAACGTCATATTAGCTTTGCCTCTAAAAACGTAACATTTTCCTGACTAGCTTTTACAGTTCAGTATGGTAAAGAAAAACGAAACAAATTCGAATTATGTGCTTCTTTCTAAAAAACATAAGACTGAGGATAGGATGACACAGCGACTCATGAAGCCAGTGTATCTGGGGAGTAACAGTTGTAATGGTTTCCTGTTGACTTCCTGAACGGATTGTTTGTTTATTTCTTTTATAACACAAAATTACACAACAAGCTATCTGTGTTGTACGCATCACGGGTATCGAAACTCAGTTTTTAGTGTTATAAGCTCACAGACTTACCACTGAGTTACTGGGGGAGGGGGGTCAGTCCTTGTACGGCATACCTTGCTCAACGGGATACGAACCTCGAACCCACGATTCACTGTTAGTATTTACTACTCTCAATAACATATTGTGTAACTTGGCTCTTAAAGGAACTAAAATTATTTAAATGCTGTCAACTAGTAAAAGATAGATTTTGGTGAATAAATGCATTCATAAGTTGGTTGGTTGGCGTTTAATGGCGCAAAGCAACTAGGCCATCTGCGCCACATTCATAAGAAACATCGCAAATATATTATAACTTAGAACTATTTCTTTATAAATCTGTTATATAAATTGCACAGATATCAATATTGTTCTATTAACTTATCTAATGAATTTTGTTATTGTGTATTGTGCAAGTCTAGTCCTATTTTGAACTTCAAGGTTTGATATATTCAAGTGTAAATAAAAATTAGTTTACTGATTATCGGTTTCATACCACGGCCTAGTAAAGCTAGTCGATTGTAGATCATACGACCTGTAAAACCTTCCAGATGACCTTTTCAATATTAACGATGATTTTAGATTTATGCAATGAATGAAACCGTTTGTATCTAAAGAATGAAAAAAAGGTTTAGTTTCACACGTCCTATAACTAAGACATTTTTTATTGAATTGTGTTCTCTACTGTTAGACACCAAGATTATTAGGAAACAGTTTAGTTAAATCTGAAGCTTTTAGACATCACGAATTTTCTTTGTTTGTCACAAGCACAAAAAACTGCTAGCATCAAGCTTGGAAAGAAAATATTATTGAAAATCAACTGAAATGTAAGTTATTTTATATAAGTTCTTTTCCCTCTTTTATTTTTATAATCTAACATGTTACTTGAGAGGTATTAGTTCAATATAACGTCATTGTTCTCCACTAAGAGGCTAGGATTTTATGCTAGACCTGATACAAATCTCTTCTAGTCATGAAGCACGTAATGCTGGATTATTTTACTTGGCAGTTTTTATTTACGGGAGTATTTCTCTAGTGAGCTAGATCTTTTTTCGTTTAGTGCAATGTATAAGCTATAAATAGCATTCTGAAAAAATCAACGGGATTCCAAGAAAATCTACGAAACGTAGCTCTGACTTCTGTATAACTGTTAAACTGTGGAATTACACTGATTGATAAAATCGAACTATTTTCTCTCATCAAAGATGTAAATACACTTTTCTAAACAAGTTTTGCACGATGATTCCAAATCTGTTTTCATCTAGCACATCTAGTTATCTAACTATGACTGGTATTAATTTAAGCACAATTTAGATAATAATCACACATTAGGCTAGTTAACGTTACAACTTTATTCATTTTTTAGTATAATTCCCATAAACGTTGTACACACCATACATACACTTAAATTTATACAGTACACACTTGTGAAAAAAAGAAAATTAGAACAACTTGAATTATAATTAAGGCAATAACCTTTCAAATTTGATCAGTCTAATCACGAAAACTTGACGTGCTAGAGGAAAAACCATCTATAATTGTATCTTATGAAAATGGCTTGTTGACCAGTGTTAGACAATACTGGAACAATAAAAAATAAAAGAAAGATAAGGCATGGCCAGTTGGTTAGGACGCTGGACTCGCAATCTGCAACATGCTCGCCTTTTCAGACGTGGGGGCGTTATAAAGTGTGGTCAATCCCACTATTCGTTGGTAAAAGAGTAGCCCAAGAGTTGGCGGTGGGTGGTGATGACTACTAATTTAGCAACTCCTGCTAAATTAGGGACGGCTAGTGTACTCGTGTAGCGTTGCGCGAAATTCAAAAACAAACAAACAAACTTACAAGGTATCACCCAGTAACACCTGGATTTTACCAAATATTTTATAGCTCAGATCATAAAGTGTCTGAATGCAGTTTCACAGGATGTATTTGAGTTAATAAAATGGCAGCAACAACTTGAAAATTGGAAAAGTATTTATATAGTACAAAGACTCACGCATTTCAAAATAATTATGACAGTAAATGAACATGATGAAAAAATAATGTTCGAAATAGAAAACGTACAAGATTATGGCACAAAATTCTCTCAGTATACTACGTAATTGATTATAACTTTGAGAAAATAATGTTAAGAACTTAATTAATTCGTTAGCTTGAGAATATAGTTTACTGATTGGCTTGTTTGTTTTATCATAAGGTTACACAATGGGCTATATGCGCTCTTTCCACCGCGGGAAATCAAACCCCGGATTTCATCGCTGCAGCTCCCGAAACTTATCGCTGTTCCATTGATTATTGATTGGAAGAACGTTTATGAAATAATAAAGAAATTATAGTATTAATGAAAAAGTTCATAAAATACTGTATATTGCAAATATTTATGTATGAGCGTTTACTTTATTGTTAAGCAACGTGAAATGTATTTTCCACACACAATCACTTCACCAATATGTGAAAATTAAATGAGTTTACTAATACCCAGAATTGAAAGAACCCGGAATAAATGTTATTGACATAGAAAAGATATATACCAAATATACAAAAGTGGATGACTCTACAATAACAAATCAAACAAAACATTATACTCAAAAACAGATACCCAAGAATTTACATAATTACGTTATGATAGTAGAAACAACTTTGTGTAGAATAGTGAGGGAATACTTTCTATTATATTTTATATGTAGTTTCTTTTTTTAGTTAGTTTGAACATAAGGGGGATACTTCCCTAATAAAGACAGTTGTAAATGGAAAAAATGGCGATAAAAGTTTGAGTTTTTTAGAATTTGCTCACAAACAATGGAAGAGCAGCAATTAGATACATAGGTAAAAGTTGGACAATGTTAATCCAAACAATGGAGGAGCAGTAATTAGAGAAGTGACTCAAAAGTGAATAATGTTAATACAAACAATACTCCAATTCCACCAAACAGTGGAAGAGCAGTAATTAGAGATGTGACTCAAAAGTGAACAATGTTAATACAAACAATACTCCAATTCCACCAAACAGTGGAAGAGCAGTAATTAGAGATGTGACTCAAAATTGGAC